ATATATATATATTAGATATCGTATCATAATGTTACATGTACATCAAACATTAGACGCAAATATTACTCTTATAATATTTAGTGAAACTAAATAAGCGTAATTAGATTTTGTGATTATGATGACTCAAAGCAATATAACAAAAAGGAGCCAACGAACAGAATAAAACAATACATTTGAAAGGAGATCGAGAGGGAGAGAAAAAGAGGGAAGGGAAAGGAAAAAGGGGAGAGAGAAAGGAAGGGAGAAAGGTAGGGAGAGAGGGAGGAAGGGATGGAAGGGGGAAGAAAAAAGGGAGAAAAGGAAGAGGGAAAGAAGGAAAAACGAGAGAACACACAATGCTATTTTAGATAAAATGTAAAATAAAACTATTTATATACATAGTTGCAGTTATTAGATAAAAAAATATAATAGATACGTAAAAAATATTTAAAATATAATTAGATGTATCTATAGAAAGTTATCTTGCATTATTGTTCATGATATACTATTTTTTCTATGTATTACAATGGGAATATATTTCGATTGAAATTGATTTACTTTCAGATTGATTACAAAAAAATTGAAGTTCGGTGATTATTAAAATAAAAATTTGGATTTTTCTTAGAATATGTTTGTGCCATCTGTCATCATTTATTCGTGATAATGCGTATATTTCGAAAAGAATCGAATATGCCAACTCCTATGTAAATGAAAACGTTGAAACATGCTGGTCGAGCGCGCTTAATCTCATCAACTACACTATTTCCAGTCGCATGAGTGTGCGCGAGGTAACAAGTAATTATTTACGTAATTTAGTTTTGCTATTCATCGATAATTAAATTCCTTTCGCGAATTCCAGCCGTGTATGCGTCAATTGTAAGCTCTTAATCTCAATCAAAATTTCATTTCCGGAGTAAACGCCGTGCGTTAACGAAGTAAAATAGTGTGTGTATTTTATATTAGCACATTGTGTATGTGTGTGGTGATATCATTTGAGCGTTAAAATTGCATCATCGAATGATTTAATCGCACACCATCACACTAGTTATTTTAAAAAAGCCTACTCAATTATATTAATTCTTTATCCGGCTATTCCAAGAAAAATGAGACATTCAACTGATAATTGATTAATATGCATTTATATCAATGGTAAAAATATTTATAAAAATTACAACATAATACAACTTTATTTGAATTTTATACTAGCTTGAATATATATTAATAAAATATTTTGAGGGAAAATAAATGTAATATTTAAAATATTAAACAATTCACATGTGTGTATGCTATTTAAAAAAATTGATTATTGATATAATTTTAATGGACTTTAATAAAACGATGTAAGCTCGTTTTGCTCTGATTTTCGCGGATGAATTTTTGCATTATGTTTGATATTTATCGAATTTGACTTTTGGAAGATAATGGAAAACATCGAACATTCGCCGAACGTGATTTATTACTTTGTGAAAGAATATTGAAAGAAAAGCAGAGATGTCGAGCTTATTGATCTTTGAATGCTGACGAATCAGTAACAAATCGATTCATATACGCGACAAGCTAGCGTGTATCGATGGCATCAAAGTTTAAAAAATCGTTATCACAGATATGAATTAGTGCTGTCAATATCCAAATCCGAGTACCCGAGTGTAATATCCGGGTATTCGGATATTCCAAAAACATTTTAGGTGATTGTGTATTGTGTATTTTGTAATGTATTCACATTACGATAACTAATATTTTTACAATAAATGAGATGAGATGAATTGATTGATACAAAAAATACATGATTGCTTTTGTTATAGCCTAAGTATATATGACATACACAATTTTATTTCAATTTTAATTTAATAAATGGGGACGTTCACCGCGCGAATCGTGAAGTCAGCAATCAAGATTGCGAAAATCTGCAAGCAAAGAAATTCGACTTTGGACTTCTTCGCTTGCACCTGGGCTTTATTCTCACGAGTTGACTGCAAAAACGACAATTTCCGGGATTATACCGAACCAGGTACTATGACTGAACGACCGCCCACAAACCTATAAAGAGATTCGCCAAAAAATCAAGTCGGATAGTGAAGTGAACAATCGAAACAATCAGTTGATCAGCCTGTCGAGCCATCGCGAATCAGAATCCGCTGTTATATATACGATGTGTTATCGAAAATTTTCCGGTCTTACTCTATAAAAAATGTTAGGCTTACCTTATTTATAATTTGCCTGCATTCTTTTCGAAATAGTCTCCTTGTGACTTTATACAGTCACTCCAGCGCTTCTGTCATGCTTCAATTTTTCCCTGGAAATTTTTTTACTGTAGAAAGCATCCTCTGCGATTCGGTCTCGATCTCTTGTACCATTTCGCAATGTCGCCCTTTGAGCTTCAGTTTCATCTTTTGGGAACAAAAAAAAGTCACAAGAGACTAAATCTGACGACAGTTGTCACGATTTTGTCCGAACGATTTTGGCAATATTTTCAACATTTTCGGAGATTGTGCTGGTGCGCGGCCATTCTATGTGCTTGTCGTCTTCGACAAATGTTTTGACTAAAGGTTTGTGTCAAACTCGGAAAATCGAGACTCTCGATTCGTCAGGCTTTTGGTAACGACACTCTAAGCTGTACACAGTGTTTCGAACAGCATGCACACTTCAAAAAGGTCGAATGTTGATATAATAAAATAATAAAATAAATATTATATTTATATTTTATATTATGTTTGATAATATTATTGACAATAATATTTTTTTCTACGATAATTTTTACGGATCCTCTAAAAATTATATTATCTTGTCTTTAAAAAGTTTTTAAGAGAATTATGATTTCGAAGAATAATAGTTATTTCAAAAAAAAAATAATGTTTAAAATTGAAATGAAGAAATTTTTACTATTTAAAGATATTTCAAAAAACATTGTATAATAGTTGATGCGCAACTATATATCTTTTTCTGAAATATGAGCGAAACATAAACATAAATTCAACCAGCCTCAGTGCCAAAGATTAATAATTGTGCTGAGATTTTCCGAATATAAATAAAAATACATATTTCGCATTGTAATAAAGTTACAACAAGATGAACGAATTAACCAACCAATTAACGGCTTTCTGGAATAATGGCAGCTCTCGGTTGGTCATCGGATGATCAACAAGTGGCTCATGATTTTGTCAGTGGCACGCGGTTGACCGCGAAAACTCCCCTTTCTGCCTTGCGTTACCTATATTGCCGCAAATCTCATCATGATTCCATTTAACTACTAATCAATTCAAACGTTACTGCGAATGACTGTAAGCGTATTCTGCATTTGTTTGCATAAAATAAAAAAAAAAAATGATTAGGCGTGGCTTCTTAAGTTATGTGTTAACTTGAAATACCAAAGTGACTAGAAAATAAGATCGTATTATACTAACGAGATGTCATCTAATAAAAATTTAGTAATTGTATGCAAAATTTATGCAACTTAAGCAAAAACGGTAGATTATAGATGACGTAATCCGCCTTTTATGTCTCCTATTAAGCTGGTTTTCCCAGCATCGCTAAATAAAACATCCATTAAATAATTATAAGCTGATTTGTTGTTGAAATTCCGTGAATTTTGTTACTTGAGCCGTTTCAGGAATTTACGTTCAAAGTGATGCAGGGGAGAGGTTGACTTGACATTAAGCTAGCCCCTTCCCTTATAATGAAAAAGATATATAGAGCGAATCGAAAAAAATCAAGTATACCAGAATTTGTTGCTATCTTGTTACTGATAAAGCATCTTGTTACTGATAGCATAAAAATATTTTGAAAAAAATATGTTGTTTAATAAGTACCACTATATATTAAATATTGTTGCGCCATATTTGTCTTTCACTTGCGCAAAGCAAAGTAAAAAAAATTTTTGGTACGAAAATAAGTTATAGATAATCGATTCTCAGTACGTATAAAGTATGTGTTAAAAACGTCACGTCGTCTGTCAATTATTACGGCACATTAATAGCGTATTGCTTTATCCTCCTACAATTTATGAGATTTTTTAATATGGACTAGAAAATCATGGACTAATTAAAGCGTGGTTTATACTATGTTAGTAAAGTTAAAATATTTTAATCTGACTATCATGCTAGTTAAGAAAAAGAAAGAAGCATGCTAGTTTACTAGCATTTTAAAATACACGCTGTTTTTTTTACTAGTTGCTAACAAACTGACATGCTAGTAGCTAATAAAAAAGCATCGTATAAACCATGCTTAAGGAACGATCAAAGTGATGAACAGAGCCAGTAGGTGGTTAGGTCTGCTTCCCAGCTGCTGTTCAACCGCTAACGTTCTTCCAGCTCATTTAAAATCATCTTTGCCTCGAATATCTGTTACGTCTATCAACATCAACTTTTCTTTCCTCAGCTAGTTTTCGATTGATAAAAATTATGTTATCGAAATTGCATTCAAGCATCACACATATATAATTAAGCAAACTTTTGAAGAACATCATGATTATTAAAGATAGTTGACTCTAAATAATAAGTAACAATATTTTTCATAGAGAAAACTTGTCTAAAATCGCACTATTTTTCAAAAAAAAGATCATATATTTTAAATATCATTCGAAAACATATTTTTGAGTATATCACTGTAGAGATGGGTATTTCCCGTCTTTCTCAAATTTTCTAAATATTTTTAGTGATTCTTAAGTATCAAAAAAAGAAACTATAAATTTTTGCAATCGGTGCGATTTAGGCAACAGGTCTAAATTGCACCGATTATAAGTTGTCAAAATCGGATTCACATATAGTGCGCATTTAAAAAAAAAGTTTTGTTAAATTAAGAAAAAATTATTTTGTAAAAAAGCTTATAGATTGTTATATTTATTAGAATGAACACAGTATATATGAAACATAATTTAATGTTTGAAATATTATAAGCTGTAAAAATCTTAAAAAGCTTAAAAATCTATATAAATTATATGCCTAACAATTTTAATTATTTTATACAAATTATATATGTGTTCAGAGTCATCTTTGAAATTCCAAAACATGATTATCGAAGTGAGTAAGATATATAAATGCAAGTATTCTTTTTTTTCACTTTTTTATAACATTACTAGTAGGCATTATGGAATATTATGTAAAGTATTTTATAGTAATGCCCCTCCTAATTAGGCATTATTATGCATTGCTGTATACAATTTTGATCAATGGTTTATTCTTCATCTGCACTGTTTTTTCACTGTTCAAAGATTTTTCTTTGTTTGCTAATCCGATTTCCATATTCACTAATTTGTCTCGAAGAATCGTATATTTGAGCAACTACTCTAAAACAACAGACAACTCGACATTAAAAGCAATTCGGTCCATTTTAAAATTTGACTCAATTTTTAAATACGGAAATTTATGATGTCTCTCTCGCTCTCTCTCATGTTTTGCGATTAAAAACATTCAAAAGTTTACGTTGTGATGAATCAATCAACGTGAAGCTCTATCGCACTCTCGTAAATAAAACTGTTTGATGATGATCTATGTCAACGTTATCGCTATAGGATTATCGATTGTGTCGATATATTTATGGCATTTCCTTATATGATGATAGAAACACAGTCAATTAAACCGAAATTTACATTTCTTAAAAAATAATTATTGCGATATATAGATTTTTTTATAATGTTATTGTATGATGCCTGTATATGTGACTTACGTGATAATCGAACATTCCAAACATAAATTCTCGTCAAGCTCAGCGCATGATCTCATCGAAAGGAATGAAATGTTCTTTCCATTTTTTTCTAACATTTAAATTTTCCTTTTCTATAATGCACTCAATTTTTGCAGTTAGATATATGTGTGTATGTGATTTAATTTTTTTGAATATTAAATCTCTTGTTCTCTTTTTTTCTCTCTTCTTCCTCTCCCTCCCTTCCCCCTCCTTCCCTCGCCCCCCCCCCTCTCTTTCTCTCTCTCTCTCTCTCTAGTTCTTTGATATCGGTTTGATTCATATCGTTCGTTCGCACATTTACTCGCAGAACGACAAACACCTGGTGCATGCACCTGAGTTCTTAAGGCCATTCAACTTACACAGATCGAGCGCGTGCTTCATTTGTTTTCTTTCGTCCAGGTCAACTCGTGTATACACAACTATAGTCACGTAAGCCTACGGTGGAAATTTCGGTAAGCCATAGCACGTTTAAAAACTGGATGATAGGTAGAATAACGAATGAGAGCAAAAGGAAACTAGCCGGTCTATAGCGAATGCGTGCAAATGCTGGACGCGTGTGATCGTTACGTGTATATTACGATATCATCATAGAATTATCATGATTCCTCTTTTTAATTAGTGCAACGATAGTTTATAATTGTGCAGTTGTTAATAAAACATGTAACAATTTTATTGACATTTGGTAGTCAAATATGAATAAAAACTAGATCAATGATTTAAGTAAATTAATGAATAGATATCTTTCGCGTAATATTTCACGCTAAACATCTCACACATTTGCAGAATCATTTGATATATCTATAATACATTCTATTGTATCAAAAGCTAGGTAGTCTTTTTATTCACGTAAAAAAAAAAAAAAAAAAAAAAAAAAAAAAAAAAAAAAAAAAAAAAAAAAAAAAAAAAAAAAAAAAAAAAAAAAAAAAAAAAAAAAAAAAAAAAAAAAAAAAAAAAAAAAAAAAAAAAAAAAAAAAAAAAAAAAAAAAAAAAAAAAAAAAAAAAAAAAAAAAAAAAAAAAAAAAAAAAAAAAAAAAAAAAAAAAAAAAAAAAAAAAAAAAAAAAAAAAAAAAAAA